TCGAGTAATATATAGTATTATACTATTATATTATATGGTAATATAATATAATATTATATATTACAATCGTGGACTCCGTGGCGAATTAAGAAATCGGGATTTTCCGGGTAAGTCCTCGTTTGAATTCGATTATGTTTGTCCTCTCGACGTATTAATATATTATTATCAGTATTTGTTGAAAATGGTTTATCAAAATGTGTTTATGTCTTATGAGCCAAGTGTATAATTTATGTAATATTTTGAATTATTATGGTAAATAATAGAGTGCAGAAAAACTGTTCACCTCAAAACAAGGTAAGGATAAATTATTTTATAATTTTCACCTAAATAAACCGTTTTAACAATATTAGGTAATATTATGAATTGTGATAATAATAATAATTATTATTATAGGTACCGTAGTAATATTCATACGTATGTATAGGTATCTTAATGACAATACATAATATGACCACATACGTATACAGTATATATCATTTTAGTATTTTAGTAAATACGTCCTAATCTTTCAACTTGGCGCGCTTCGCGTTTGTCTACTATTGAGCTGGAGTGCGCGCCAGCAGTGTATAATGTATATTATTGTGTAATGTGTATTGTGAACACAGGCCACATATATAGATTATTAATTATTATGATCTATATCTGTGATTGTGTGTGTTTTGAAGTTGTCCCCACCACTATCGACGACTTTTTCTTCGTCACCAACCGCCGCGATCGGCGACCGTTGTGTTTCGTCTTTATCTTCTTTTAATTTTAACCGTCTTCGGTCTTCACAATTCAGTTTTCAGTATTCACTGTTTAACCGTACTTTGCGCCGTGTATACCGTTGTATTTTTTGTTCACGTCTCGTGTTTTATCCATACAACCATACATTTTATTAGTTCATGGTTTTATCGATACGGCTTTTTAAGCTTTTAACTATTTTTTTTTAACTTTTTAACGTATGGTATCTACCGTAGCTATCAACGTATTAATCGTAGGCCTGATTGGTTTGTCGTACCTAGTGTACAATCGTGACCACATGTCTCACCGTTACATCTTTTCGCTACCTATTGCTGTAAGTCTGACGTATTATTTTGAAACTTTCCGGCCAACAAAAAACTACACCTATTTGCTTTATTTTAGGTACCTACGTGTCTAGTTGTGTGATTTTGGAGACCGGTAATCTGCTTCGTGCATAACTCACGTGGTGCGTCCCCGTCACCGCCATCATCTTGTTTTCAAGGAGCGTCACTTCATCATTTTCAGTATTGTACTATTGTCAATTGCTGATAGCTGTTCAACTTACTAGTACTGTAATATCAGCCATCAGGTTTCAATTATTTTTTAATATATAAGATTAAAACCTAAGTAACATTTAAGTTAATTACAGGTATTATTAAAAAAAAAAAAAAACGTATTATACTAGTTATTATGTTATAATAGTTTCATAACTACTTTTATATAATATCTACATTTATAATAATATTAATCGTATTAATATATTAAAGCAGTATAGCCTTTATTATATTTTATTACTTTAACACGTAAAATGATTTCGAGTGAGCGTACAAAAAAAAGAAAAATTAAAAATGAAATTGATTATACACTCAATGCAATTTATGGTAAATCCAATAATATTATCCATGAAGTTTCTCCATCAGTTAATTTGTGTGAAAATAATTATGAATCATTAATTACAGTACCTAATGTATTGTCTCCAAAAGTTTCTTCTCCAATTATTAAAGTCCCAGATACAGTATTATCTAGTACTTGTACTTCTAATACTTTTCCAGTAGAATTATCTGATAATCTCTGTGATAATGTTGGAGAAAGTTCAATTATTCAACAAGATTTTTCATTAAAAGATTTCTTAGCATCATGGTCTCTTAATTTTAACATTTCTCATATAGCTCTGAATGGATTACTAAAGGGATTAAAAAACCACAAATGTTTCAAAGATTTACCGGTTGATAGTAGGACTCTTTTATCGACTCCAAAAGATATTTGTCAGAGTATACAAACTGTTATGCCAGGAATATATTACCATTTTGGATTGTCATCTGCAATTTTGAAGTATACTCCCAACAATGTTACTGAGGTCAATATTGCCATAGGTATTGATGGTGTACCTTTGTCAAAGAGTAGTGGTGGTCAATTTTGGCCTATTTTAGGATACATTATGACTGAATCTTCGTCTCGCAAAAAAGTATTTCCTATTGGCATATATTATGGATTTGAAAAACCAGATAATAGTAATGAGTTTCTTTCAAATTTTGTAGATGAAGCTAAATTTCTAATTAATAATGGTATTACTAAAAATAATATCATAATTAAAATTAAAATAAAAGTATTTTGTCTTGATGTACCTGCTAAAAGTTTTGTCCTGCGCACAAAAGGTCACTCTGGATTCTCTTCGTGCACTAGATGTACAATTGAAGGAGAATACATAAACAACAGAGTCTGTTTCCCATATTCCCATGTGCCTTCATTGAAAAGAAATCATCACTCTTACATAAATAAACTGGATGAAGACTTTCATACTTCCAATGAACTAACCCGTTTAATTGAATTGCCCGGGTTTGATTCAATTAGTTCTTTTAGTCTCGACTATATGCACCTAATTTGTTTAGGGGTGATGAAAAAGCTTCTATTTCTTTGGACTAAAGGACCACTGAATGTTCGCTTAAGATCAAAAAGTGTTGACGATTTGTCATCTTCTTTATTATCATTAAAAAATTGCATCACCTCAGATTTTGTTCGAAGTGTAAGAAGTATGAAAGAATTGAGTCGCTTTAAAGCCACAGAATTTCGAACTATAGTTATTTATGTTGGTCAAATTGTTCTTAAAAATGTTCTAAGCAATAAATGCTATGAACATTTTATGACTCTCAATATTTCCATGATAATACTCCTCAGTCCAGATAAAAGTACAATGGTTGATTATGCTAGAAATCTTTTAAATTATTTTGTTAAACAGTTTGGAGAAATCTATGGTAGTTATAATATATCACATAATATCCACGGTCTTTTGCATTTATGTGATGACTATGATATGTATGGCCCATTAGACAACTGTAGTACTTTTGTATTTGAAAATTATCTAAAAGAATTGAAATCCCTACTGAGAAAACACGAGAAACCGTTAGCTCAAGTAATTAATCGTTTAGCTGAGAAAAACAATATAACTGCCATGCAAGAAATTAATGAAATCGCTAATAGAAACTGTAAAATTTCTCAAAGTATTATTCTAAAACAGCCTCATACTAATGGCCCTTTAATTGAAAATACATTTGGACCACAATACCATGATTTAGTTTATAAAAATATACATATTAACATAAAAAAAGAAAAAGATTCTTATGTTCTAACAAATGATAACACTTTAGTCAAATGTCTCAATATTGCACATTTAAACAATAAACCTATATTAATAGGACAATTCTTTAAGTCTTTATTACCTTATTACACGATACCATTAGATTCCACATTGTTAGATATATTTGAAGTCAAAAATCTTTCTAGAAACATCCATTATTGGGACGTTTGTGATATAAAAAAAAAAATTATGGTTTTTAAGCATGGCGGAAAACTTATAGCCATGCCAATTATTCACACAACAGATTAAGCCTTTGAAGAACGATTATAAAATATAACTTTTGTAAATAAAATTATGTATAGGTTTAAATAATTAAATTAGAGTTTTTTTCATCTTTAGTGTCATTTAATATTTTCATTCTGTTAGAAGGATTAATTTGTAAATGTATTAATACACTTATGTGCTTGTTGTTACCACAAATTTTAATTTTTTTCATTTTATATGTTGAAAGAACAACTGCCCTATATACATACAGGAATATTCTAAAGTATAATAATTTAAAGGTAATCATAATTTTATCATAGGAGAAAAAAAAGTGAAGTTTAGACTTTCTTCTATCATAAAATATATATATATATTTATATTGATATCTACTTTTAAGTATTATTATTTTGTTTTTTAATAGTAAGGTTATATTTCATACATAAACCATTGTTTTCTTATTTATTAAAAGTGAATAGGTACACCATTTTAAAGTTCTAATTAGAACAGGGGCCCAAATTTTAATTTTTTAACTTTCAAAAATATTTTTTGATATAACATAATATTCAAAATTAATTTCTAACTTAAAATTAATTAATATAGAAGTACAAAATAAGATAATGATTCAAAATTTGTGAAAATAATAATATATTTGTATTAAATATGTTTTTTGATTTTTTTGATTAAGGCCCTTTTTTGATTTTTCATATAAGTGTCAATTACATTTTAAATACCCAATATTTGTATGGTGGGTCTATAAAATTTATCTTATTTTTTATATTATTATATCAATTTACTTACAAAAAACATTTAAATTGTTCTATCTATAAGGTAAATAATATTATTTAAAATTTCATAATAGATGGAACTTTGGGAAGTAGTACATTTTACTACTGAAAATACAGTTGAAGCTGTACCTCATACCTGGATGAAAAAAAACTGAATGTGCATGGCCTAAAAATCCTAAATTTGTTAAAAGGTTCATAGAACATAATGTTGAACCAAACCCTACTGAATTTTATTATTGCCCAGCAAAAAAAATTAGGGAAAAGGAGTTATGGTAAGTTCCTTAAATATTTTCAGGTTAATTTTTATGAAATCAATTATATATTAATAACATATAGATTCATTGGCATTGGCTCAAATGAAGGCTGAAAAAGCAACTTTTACCACTGATTTATCCTCGACTGATGAAGCACAATTTAGATCAGAAAAATTATACTCATCTAAACGTCAAAAACAGCTTTCTAGTAAAATAATAAGAAAAGAATCATATACCTGTCCACCAAAATATAATGGTAATATATATTTAAATCCATAAGAACGACTTGATACTACTAAATACTACCATCATTAATTACTTATATTTTTAAAAATAAATGGCATTATATATTTTTTCCTTTAGAATATTTAGAATCAAAAAATCAAAAATGTATTAGTAATGTTACTATCGAACAAAACAAAACTGAAAAACCATTGTACAGTTGTCCACCAAAATGTATGAGTAATGTGTATTAAATATTTATAGTTCATATTTATTTTTAAAACAATATCAATATTTTTCTAAATCATTTTTTTTTAGTTACCACTAAATCAATAAATTTGAAGTATGATCTGCAACAAGATGATGACAGCAGTAATGATGATTTGAATAATGATCCTGATTGGAAATTAAAATCGGTTTTTAATTGTAATACATTTCTCTAATTTGGAAAATATTGTTTTGTTAATAATATAATTATATGTAAACCATATCAGTCAACAGCAGTGATGACGGCATCGTTACTGGAACTCCGCCAAAAGTCACAGAAACAGTCACATCACTATTATTATATTCGCCCAAAGAAAATTGGAAAGTATTATCTCATACTTATGATACAGCCGAAAAACATACAAATTTAGTTACACATTCTCCAGCTACTGACAAATGGATTGTAGAAGACAAATTTGAGACAACACACAATAAAGAACCACCAGTAAAAAGAGCATTATTTAAAGATGACAACGATCCATATAAAAAACCAGGTAATAATTAGCTTTTGTTAATATGTATTTATAGTTCATATTGTATAATAGTTTGGTTAACAAAACTATATTCTCAAATTTATGTGTATTTTATTAATATGACTAATAGTAGATAATAATTAAAATTACAAAATAGTTAGGAAAGCTAATTTTCAGCTTGCTAAATTCCCTGTTTTTTAAATGGAATTTTAATAAGACACAATAAATTATAGTTCCACGTACAGTTTATGTACAATAAATAAACAAAAATCAACAATAAATAATAATTATTATATTAACAGTTTTAACTATATGTACTGGCAAATAATACACAAAAGTCAACAATATACATCTCAAAAATTGTAATTATATACTGGTAACAAATGAACGGGCAAAACAGGGTTGTTATTATTATTATTCTAATCATATTTAGAAACCTAAAATTGTTATTTATTTTATAGAGTTACCTGCAGTTACATCTGAATTGTCTTCAAGTCTAAAAAGTAATAACATGCAGTATAAGACTACTGAAGGTTAGTATTTTTGTGGTATTTAATACTCACTATAATGTAAATACCTACATTATTATTATTATAATAGCTAATAATTTGTTTCAAATTGCAATAGCTGTTGTTTTCTACTCTAATATATAACCTAAAATTTTTCAATAATGACCAAACAATAATTTTGTAATTAAATTATAATTTATATATTTTTAGCAATATACATAAATTATTTATTATGTATAAAATGTGTTTAATGTTTTAGATATAATTTATCGACCTATATGTTGACGTAATAAGAAATATTATAATTTAAAATTTTAATTTAGCTTTTCAGACTTTTGTTGTCAACACACTAGTTAATTTAAAACATGAAATCATTAATATTTCAAATGTTGTTCAATCCAACCACTTAAACATTGACTGTCTCCTTCAAAATGCCAACAAATATCAAACCGTGGATCTCTCAAACATTGAATGTAATATTAATCACATCTTTCCTATTGAAAAAGAAGAAGATTTATACACATTTGAAAACAAAACAAAATAAAACAAGAAAATGGTTTCAGAGAATCCTTGGTAAAAATACTATATATATACATAGGGTGTCCCATAAAGTGCGCAACTTTATTTGTTAAAATTAAAAGTTAAATTTTTTTTTTATTTTTTTTTTTAAAGTTAAAATTAAATTTGTTTATAATTGAATCGGAGTAATAATAGATACTAGAAATGATAAAAACAGGGTTGAAAACAAAATATTTAAAAAATGGCGGTTGATTCAAAAGTTGCGCACTTTATGGGACATCCTATATATATATATATCTTTCAAAACTATATTTTGTATAATAACATAATTTTTTTCTTATGAAATACATTTTTAAATGTCTGCAAAGGGGAAAGTGTTTTCCAGCAAATCCACAAATAAAAATAAAAAAGCTTTAAATCTATTTAATTATTATATGTAGTTTATTTTATTATTCTTAATTGTTTAACTGTATTAGTACCAATTATTATTTTTCACAGATAATGAAATTCTCGGTTTTAACTGACAGCAACGATTTGGGAAATAGTGTACGCAGGGTGATGGGTCGCATGTTTAATGACAGTGTGTTGGTGAATTATTCGCTGTTTGGTTTTAAGAAGAAACAGTGTTTCTCTTCATTATTGAGCTACCGTCTGATAATAGGTAACACCTAAATTTTAAATATTTTGACTTGAGGGTTCTGTCACTAGACACCCTTCCTCCTCATACTATGTATGAGTATATATATTTATTTACACGTAAATATTTCTCCATGGTTTATATCATTTGCTTATTGTACATCCTATGCTACAGATTGTGAACTTTTCTATTTTAATTAAAAATATATATATATTTTGAGTCGTTGATTATAATAATTTGGACTTCATTATCATTCCAAATTAATTAATTATTTTAGAAAATAAATTTTTTTAAATATCTTATTTGACTTTCATAATATAGATAGTCCATATTCTAAGGTAGCACTATATTTCAAAAAATAATTTCTTGAAAACATAAATAGTATAATAATTATTTCTAGAAATTTGAACATCATTAAAACAATGTTCATTAAAGGAAAATAAGTTGTTTATTATCTCATCTTTTGCATATTAAAATTATGGAGTACCTAATATAACAATATAATAGATTCAAATAAACTATAATAGTGTAAATCACAATAGTGATAACAAATTCACCAATATAATAAACTCAAATCGCATATTGTAGTCTTGACAGATGAAACTACGTATTATTTACAATAATATGTACTATAAATTTTATTTCATCTCATCTGTACAACATAAAAACATGCCTAATATAAATTTAATGTTAGCTATGTAAAATAAATATAAAATATAAATTATGATACTATATAATAGCTGTTTTTAGCTACCAATGTATAGTATATTTAAATATTATTTAAATTAAATACCTACCTAATAATTATAAACATTTTTTTCAGATGCAGTAAGAAAAAACATAAAGTATAAAAATATTCCTGAAAAAGATATTGACAACTGCCTTAGTATATGGCTTTCTCATGCGCCATTTCGCCTTAAAAAAAAAAATTCAAAACAACCTAATAAATTGTGAACATTTATATTAAAAAATAATAAACAATTGATATATAATTAAATTTACAGCTTATTGTTTTAATATAATATTTAATTTTTATAATAATTCCTTGTTCTTGTGAAAATATTTTCTGAATATTAATACATTATTAAATCTAAAACATTGCATGTGTGTTTTTATGGAAATGTTATGGTGCAATATTTTGTGTATGTTACTAAATAACATTATGGAAACATATTTTTTTTTACCATGGTAATTTTATCATAATGTTATTATAATGTTAATGAATCTTTAAAAAACGTTATTATAATATTCTTTATAATATTATTATTGCAATTTTAACATTGATTTAATATTGTGGTAACATAATTTTGCTGTCTGGGTTATTGATATATTCATACTGCCATTGAACTTCTCCGGCAGGTGAAATAAACCAATCAGCAAAATGGTTTCGTACATCCATTGCACGTTTAGTTGGTCTATTGTATCTGACTGTATGTAATTGTTGATTTTCACTTATTGTAGTGTGGGTTTCAGTCGTTTCAGAAATGTCATAAAGTGTTTCTTTTTTTTCAACAATTAGAAAATTATGAAGAATACAACATGCCAATGTAATACTTGTTGCAAAAGCTGCATTAACTTCAATTTTTTTAAGAAGCACTCGCCATTTATGTACTGTAATGCCAAAAGCATTTTCTACAACGCGCCGAGCTCTAGATATTCGATAATTTGTTATTCGTTCACGTTCTGATAAATTTTTTCCAGGGAAAGGCCTTAATATATTTTCTTTTAATGGAAATGCTTCATCTCCAATTAAAACTAATGGAACACTTATTTCAGTACCTGGTAACTTTTTTAATTTCGGGACATTTAAAGTTGAACGATTATCTGTCAACCATAATTTTCCAAAATTGCTATGTGAAAATATACCACCATCGCTATTGTGTCCGTACGCACCTATATCTGTCATAATATACTTATAATCCGCATCAACTACTGCCATAAGTACGATTGAAAAAGTACCTTTATAATTAAAATATAAAGAACCCGATTTCTTTGGACAAAAAACTGAAACATGCTTTCCGTCGACAGCTCCAACACAATTTGGAATATTCCATTTAGAATACAATTGATGAGCTATTTTATTCCAACTTTCTTCGGTGTTAATTTGTGGCATAAATAATGGTTTGAGTACACTTGAAATGGCATTACATGTTTCTTTAATAATATTACTAACGGTTGATTCCCCAAGTCGAAATCGGTATGCTAAATCCCGAAATGATGCACCGGTTGCTAAATATCTATAAAACGAAATTAATAAAAGTAAATTAGGAAACCAATCAATATAAAAACATAATAATTTATTTATATGTTATAATAAATTGTAGATGTCAATACAGTAAAAAAGAGATGGCGGTCATTGAGAGATACTTTTATAAAAATGCATAAAAGTCAAAAGCAACCTAGTGGTTCTGGAGGAGGGAAAAAATCGAAATGGTCATATTATTCACAAATGACATTTTTGATTCCATATATAGAGTTTAGAGAGTAAGTTTATAATTTTTTTTTTTTTAATTAAAATTTTTAAATTATTTTGCGTAACAATCAAAATTATTTTAAATAATCAATAACTTCGTTATTTTTAATATGTTATAGGACTATTGGGAATTATTCAAGTTCTGAAATCTGTAATCAACAAAGAATTAACAGTCCAGAAAGAGAATCAGATATTATTAATGAAGTGTCAACAACTCCAGAACGTTGCAATGAATAAATTGAACATAACATTAAATTACGTATAAATAAATGTTCTTCAGCTACTAAAAAGCGTAAAAATGAAGCACCAGAAGATAATATTGATGAACAAATTTTGAATATTATTTCCAAAGAACATGATGCAGATGAACAATTTCTATTAAGTTATCTTCCGACATTAAAACGTATGACACCAAAACAAAATGCTATTGCAAAAATAAAAATTCAACAAGTTTTGTTTGATGTTGAGTTTGGAAATAATTATTCAAATTTGCCTTTTTCAAGCAACTCAGGGCATTCCACCTACTCGTCTGTTAATGCACCGATTTTAACTCCTCTTAACACAGCAAAATCATCAGCAATGGATTATTCTCAAAGTAATATGTCGGTCGCGGACAATGGGTTTCATGAGTATAATCATTATTCTTCGCAAAATTAATGGGTACACTTCTATTAATTCTAATAAATTTTTATGTTTATATAATTATATTTAATATACGATTTATGCCGAATAAGAAAATAATGTACCTATATACCTACAACTAATGTATAATAAATTAAAAATAAAATAATAAATACGTATCTTACCTTAATGCGACTACAAGTCGTTCGTTAGCGGGTATACTTTTTCTAAAATTTGTATCATTTTTAGAAAGCGAGTTTTTTAAAAGTGTGTATAATATATCGAATTGATCTTTGTTCATTCTGAAGGTATTGAAATATCGAACTGGATATAATTCAAGTTCAACACATAATTTTTTGAATTCTCCGTTTTCTGATCGTGTTCGATTCATAGAATGTACCCAAAGTCTAGTTTTCTTTAATGTATATTTTTTCTTTCTTCTTATTAATAATAACAATGCCAATAGCCGTTTAGATCGCGTACATAACGTCATATTTATATTATTTATTATTTATATTTACTTTAAAAATTTAATTGAATAAACTAAATCTTAAGAAGTTAAGACACACACAGAACACGTCTTACCTATTCAAAAATATCTGTTTAGTGTTAACACTAAAAGTAGTGACTTGCATGCAATGGTGATGGAGCAAACAATCAGATAAAGGAATATAGTAGGTAACTGCAGTAATAAGCCAGTAATACATTGTACATTTTGTAATCAAAAGTTGATTTGGTTAGATAGAAATAATTATAATTTATAGTTAGCTTTTAGCTGACGGATAACCAATAAACGCATTTAGTGTGGGATCTGTGTACGTTGCGTTGAATGTATACTTTAGACGTACGTCATCGCAATGGACGTCGACGTATTTAGTGTGGGAAGGCCTTCACTCTCAATTTTATTGCGTCCGATCGCACACCCTTGCACTTGTGACCCGGTACTTTCCGCTACCTCCACGACCATCTTCGCCGCCGTGCTTTCAACAAAACACGTGACACGATTGTCTCCGTCCGCGTTTTGTCAACCTGACGACATATTGTATTTTGTTTCCTGTTTTGTCAGACGTTTATGTTATTTTCTTTAAAAAATAAATATTGTCTTTTGCGGCATATTTATACCAACCTTACCTTTGTTTTTTCTCTTTTCTATCTTCGTGTTGGTACGATACGTGCTCTCCCGACACCTATCTACCACAGCTGGTCCACGGTTTTAGATTCGCTGGTCTATGGCGGTTAGAAATCTTATCGTGATTGTGATTAGTGATTTGTTATCGTGATTAGTGGTTATCAATTTATCATACAGTTTCATAGACCTTATACTCTGAGTATAAGGTCTATGTACAGTTTATATTTTTCGTTTATCATCTGGTTGATGCTGTTGACAGTTGTGTTGTTGTGTATTACAATTTAGTTATTGGTTAATATTATTATATAGACTAAGAATTTTTGTGAATGTCTATAATAAAGGTACGTTTTTATAATGAATAAACGAAAACAGTCTACGCTCTTAGAGTTTTGTAATAAAAAAAAAAGAACAATAGTTCCAATTCTACAGTGGTAACTGCGGATGCCGATGATGCAGCTGTAATATTCGAGGTAATACCAGCGTCAACAACAACTTATAATAAAGTAACTACTAGTAATATTGAGGTAGAAAATGATATTTCCTCATTAGTTATTAGTAATGATATCGGTCATTATATTAATTCATCACGTTTTATTGAAGATACTGTTAAAATTAAACTTTTGGAAAATAAGTGGAAACCACCCCCAAGCTTTAAATATCCGTTTTCAGTTCATAAAAAACAGGGAAAGGAAGAGAAAAGGTTTTTGAGGTATAACCATTTTGAACAATTTCCATAGCTTGTTTATTCGGAGTCATTATCTGGTTGTTTTTGTTTATACTGTACATTGTTCTTAGTTCAAAATACTGGTGGAAAACAAAATACGGAACAATTAAAAAAATTAGTTACAGTTCCTTTAAATAAGTATGCTAAATTACTAGGCAAACATGGTGATTTGGAAACGCATAGTAACAATAATTATCACAAAAATGCTATCTTACGTTCTGAAGATTTTGTACGAACACATCTTTGTTCCGACAAACGAGTAGATAATTTATTAAGTACCGAACGTTATAGACAAGTAACTGAAAACCGAAATCGGTTAAAGCCAACTGTTGAATCTATATTTTTGGGCCGCCAAAATATAGCGTTCAGAGGACACCGTGACAAAGGAAATTTAATTGATAAACATAATTTAAATGAAATTAAAATATCATCTTCTGTAATAAACGAAGGCAACTTTCTTGAACTTTTGAGATTTCGTATTGGATCTGGAGATGATTGCTTAAAAAATCACTTGCTTACAGCCCATTCAAAAGCAACATACATCTCACATACCACACAAGATCAATTGATTAACTGTGTGATTAACAAGGTGGGTTGAACGTCATACTAGCATTTTTGAATTTCAGTTTTGTTTGTCAGAAATTATAGAAAGTTTAACTGACCATATTTTTTCGTCAAAAGCTAACACACTTTTAATGGCTGTAACTTGTTGTGATTTTATTATTACATTATTTGCATTGACAGACGTTTTAAGTGTTACACTACCAGCCAGTAGACTTTTGCTAAGTTACGATAAAGACATTGCAGAAGCATCTGATGTAATCGATGGTATTATACTTAGGGCCGTGACGCACTAGGCAGCCAGGCTGCGGCAGCCATTAGTTGAGCAGCCAGTTATTGAGCAGCCACTCCACGACCGACCGCCAGATCGACGTCAAGTCCGTCAGTCGGTCGACCGCTGTCAATCAATACATATCGTACATTTTTTTACATTTCAAATCGTATTT